ATCCGCCACTGATTCATGACCCTTATGGAATGCTTTAGGTTTGATTTAAATTATGGTTTGCTTGTTGTGAATCAGTTCTTTGTTGACTCACATCCCATTTCTATGATTTAGTTCTATTTCAAATGATCATCTCAGTCTGTGAATCGGGTCAATGTTGATTTTGCTTCATGCAAAATTTCCAAGCTGACTTTAATGTGTGTTAATTGCTAAGTCATTTATTCACAATCAATGCATAGTGATTTGTCTAGTACTGATGGTACGAAGTGTGCACTAATCTAAAGCAAAATAAATCTTAAACGACATATTTGGCATTCACATTGACGTTGCTCGATTTACATCAGCTCTTTTTGTCGTCATTTGGGCTTTACGACGCACTCAGCTTCTGAGGCTATTTGGCGTCGCCTGCCTCTCACCCTGGCAGGAGGGGCGGGCACTGCGGGGAATCGAACCCTGGTTTCCCAGACTCGCAGTGGTTAACGCAGATGCGTTAACCACTACACTACCGTTTTTAGATGACCAATGGGTTAGATTCGCGATTCATCTTTAGTTATTACAGGAAGGGGTCGAACCCCTTGCGACTCATAACAGCTGATCTAATTCAGTAATCATTATTCGATTGATTTAGCATCAAACACAGGTTGGGAGCGTTGGGTTCTTAGCAAGCGGCACATCTCCCATCACCGTAAAGTTGCGCTCACGTCTCCGTATGCTCCGTCATACTGCCATCAACCGATGTGGCAGATAACAAATGTGACTGTGTCGCTTGGAATGAAGTGCCACCTAGCGAGTGGAGCATGAGTGACATCTAGTGGACGGTAGTGCATTCCCTTTGCTGGCAAAGCATCCCTGGTGCAATCTAGGGCAAAGGAGCTCTTAACACGTGTTTCCCGTGTCACGAGCGGGGCAGCGAGCTAGTGACACGGGTGCTAGGCCACGTCATTGACACGAGGCAGGGTCACACAGTGTGTGGCCATCCATGCACGTGAGCACGTGCGTGATGTCTTGAGCGAGCTCAGCTGGCCGCCCGCCTAGGATCTTGCAATGTGCCGCCTCCTCCAGAGCAACATTACTCCTAGGCAGGCGATCGGCCTAGCTAGCCACATACCATCGGCTCAGGGCGTTCGTCGGCGCACTGCGAGGCGGACGATCAGTCGACCCTGCCTCGCGCCAGCTCGTGATCGGAACGGCAGCAGTTCACTTGCCGCGCTGGCCGAGCCATCCATAACGTCCGCCCGCCAAGCTCCGTCATGGAAAGCTGTGTTCTGGTTTTTAAAAAGGCTGCAAAGGAGGCGCTGGGTTCGACCCATTGGTGAGGCATATGCTGTTTGTTTGTCTGTGCAGCGATCTTGAGTGATTTGCCCCGCATGCATAATCGGCATGGTTTTTATTGGTGGACGAGAGTGCATGAGGGACCGTAGTGCATCTTGATGTGTCTTGAAGGCATCCATCCATGCATGCATGCATAATTACACGCTCAAGTATATACATACCTGCATAACAATGCACATGCTTACATACATACCTGCATACATGGGAATGCTTACTCCAATTCGTATTCGAGGAGAGCTTGGTCATCGCTTCGCATTTACTGACAAATTTGAGTAGAGCTTCTCTTCAAGCATTGCGCCAGGCAGGCTGCACAGCTTATGTAACCAAAGTCACCACTTGTCGCTTCTGTATAGCAGTGGCGTAAGCAACGGGATATAGACCTGAGTACAGGTAGTGGCCCATAGCGTTATACATCAGACATTGGTCCCCTCCCTGGCGCGGGAGGCCTTCTGACCTGATTAAGGTGCCCTGGCCCCTCATCGTTACACCAATGCAATCACGGACCCCGGCCTTATCCCTGCATCGGAGATGGGACCTCGGGGCTGAGACCGACACGGGGCCGGCAGTTCGGTGCTAGTGGTCTCTGATCGAAATAGAGGCCTTCGCTGTCCCAGGGGTCCTCAGACAAGACGGTGCAAGAGACCCTCTGACTGGCATTTGAAGTCACGTGCCTACGTGCCGGGGTCCTTAATGTAACTTACAGCCAGCCCTTCGGGCCCTTCGGGGCTTCCAGCCTTCCCATCGGGTTCTTGGTGGTAAGTATCGAGGGGTCCATCTGGTCGTCCTTCAGCCCCCTCGAGCACTGCTCTTGACCGACTTGGGGCCCCTTGCTAGCGCAGGATTTTGTCAGTCGCTGTTGGCCCCTGGCCGACACAGAGGCCCCTCATTGACTCGGGGTCCCGAATCGACGCACGATGCCCTCTGACTGACATTTGATGGCCCGTTCCTGCGGGCCGGGCCCCTTAACACGACCTCCAGTCAGCCCTTCGGGCATTTCGGACCGTCAAATTTGGACCTAAGGGGAAGGCCTGGGGGGGGGGGGGGTAATTCCCCTTGTGTCCCTGGCTTGCGCCACTGTTATGCAGAAGCGAAAATCAGCGCTTTGCTTGTCCTGTACAATTTATTCAATCCGCGGAGGACCTTCAAACAGAAACACGGGGATATACAGCCAATGCAGGCTGGCGGCAGGCTAACGTGCGGACGCGGCTTTCTAAACAGACGCAATGTGCGAATTTGTAGCAGCAAAGTTTTCGTAGTTTTAGTGGCAGCAGCAATGACCTTAGGCTGTCGTTACCAAAGCATTGCAAAACACAGAAGTACCGATGATTAGATGACTGATGACTGATGACAGACTGATGATACTGATTAGACGTCACCATCTTGCGTTCGTGAACGGTTTCGAAAAATGCGACATTGGGAAGCCATCGACTCATGTCGAATTAGTGACTTCCAGTCGATTGCTAACGTTGCTATAGTTCGGGCAGCGCTGGGCTGCATGGATTGGATGTAGACAACAGATGCCCCTGTATCATGCAACTAGTTTCATGGCGTTATCTGCCCACAATGCCGAGATCTGGCATGCATCCTGTAAGACTGCCGCGAACCGCTGGATGTGTGGTTTTTGCACGTGAAGCCGCCGCTCGCATTGACCTGCGCTATTTTGCCAGTGCGGTAGTCAGCTGCCTGACAAATCGAAATATGCTTATTTCGTTTTGCCGCGACTCCTAGTTGCCAGCATAAAAGCCCGTGTTTTCGTCTGCCATTTGACTATTTTTGGCACTACGAATTTTGCGTTTTCCATGTCAAACCAACTGGGCATGTTTGCAGGTGTCACGCGCGAAATTTCACGCCCAGAAAAGTCTCATTTTACCATGGTGTATTGCACAATCAGGGCTACGGGGTCATTTACCTTTTAATACTGTAAGAAAAAGCAGATCTTCAGCACAGGCCTTTGGTATCGTTACGCCGTAGGATATTTTTGAAAGTTAAAGATAAACTAAAGGCTATTTTTTATGTGTACAAAGTAGCTCTAGAAATGAATTGCCTGACATTTTGTTCTATTCCATGTCTAATAAGATTTTATGAATAAAGCTTAGAGATGACGTACGGGTATCCAAGATCACGTTTATACCAGAAGCCATGTTTGCACTATGTGCAATGTGCTTCTAGAAATGAACGCTTGTAAGTTAAGTTCTACACCATGTCTGCTTCCATTTTGTAAATGAACCTCAGAGATGGTGCATGAATGACTGTTCGAGTCAATACATACACGGAGTCGATATCGAACGGATATTTTGCGTTTCTTGTTCTCTAGTGTTCAGTTGTGTGGGTGCCCATTTTGGCACCAACCATAATGGAAAGAAGTCGAGGGAGCTCTTGCATATCCTCAGTTGAAATTTCACAAAATAGTTATTGCAAAATTCACTCAACATTCGGCATGTTTCTTAGAAATGCCCTTTTTCGAGCGCTGCTAATGGTCTGATTGGTTTGGGCCATACGGCGCTGCTCCAAATGGGCTATTACGTGCCATCTAAGGAAGCGAGGAGGGAGAGCGAAGTTGCGACAGTACTTTTCTGTTCGCTGCCATCAAGGTTCATCCTAAACTTCTTACGTGCAAAAGCGTGCAAATGGGTGAAGCCGTTCGACCATTTAAGGGAACATCCAACCCTTTCTTGTACTTTTTACATATTGTTATGTTAGACGCGTACGATTTGATGAGAAATACCAGTTTTCTCGCAATCCTTCTGGATAGCTCAGAATTCGGTTTGAAGAAGCCCACCCCGCGGGCGAAATCTCATTTGACTTCCTGTTCACCACTATAAAAGAAATGCATCTCATTTCTCTTGGTTTGTTCAACATGTTCTGTGTCCTGTAACGTTTGCAACACACTAATGTGTCAAAATGTTCGTGTGATAAATGCTCTGTTCAGACACTGAAGACGTTGGGAGCGTGAACCTTTTATCGCGCTAATTCACCGAAGCGTTATGCTATGACCTTCATTTCTCCTCTATGACGTTTATCACAGTGGCGATTTTCCAAACGCACTTGGGGTTTGGGAATGGGAGGGTCACATAATTCATGTGACGCACTGGTTCAAGCTTCAACCAATGCACTTCGCGATAATAGGCCCTTGCCCGCTGGGCAATCACGAGCGTTCTTGTGTTCGCACCAGTAGAAGTGCGCACGACTGTTGTCATGACAACAGTGGTCGCGACTGCAGGGAAGATTGGTACAAAGCATTGCCAACACAATTTGCACCCGAAAATAGTTATAATTGGTATCCGCATGCATTCACCGCGCTGCAGAGGCACTAACCAGCACTATTATTACGCGTTATTAGTCCTGAGGCTTTACAAGAGCATATCTTTGAAACATGCCGCAAAGCTGGGAAACTGCCTTTGATGCGGAGCCCATACACGTTAAGATAGCCAGGCCAATCCAGGTCAAGCCTAATGCCTTGTATGGCTAATGGCTAATGCCAAGAACATGGTGGACGTAGAAATGACATTTTTGCTTTGGCGCGCCTGAGCCACACGAAGCAATGAGTCCTATCGCTAAGACCTGACTCGCTAAGACATGCTGAGGTACGCTGAGGTCCGCGCAGAACATGCTTCCGTGTGTGGGCATCACGTGCGTCAGCCAATCACAAAGTGCATAATGATACAGAAACCTTAATCTCGTAACGGTTTATTGTGCAGCAATCAATTTGTACGATATCATACAACAACTTACAAATAGCTTACAATATAGCTCGTCGTTTGCTTTCCATGAACACCAATCACACACGGATGGCTGGTATGAAATGAGTATGGGGGCAATACCACTCATTGGCAACTTGGCTTCTTTCATGGAACGCAACAAAATAAAATATCGCACAAGCAACAACCGACGCCGCTAAGCCACTTGAGCTCACATGAATAACACATACACACAAAGATGGCGGCCGGCGCGAGCCTAGCACTCTGCGGGTGGATGGACTGCCTGGCTGAGGCCCTTCTGGGCGGCCGGCTTCTGCTTGCCCCAGGCGAGCTTGGCCGACCGGCGTAGCGAGCGCGTCCGCTCCGGCTCGTCCTTGCCGCCCAGCACCTGGTCCATATACGCGGCGATCTGGTCCGTCTGCTGGCGCGTGCTCACAGAGATCGCCTGCGGCTCCGGCTCAAAGCACGGGTTGAACACGCCGAACGCGTCGTCGGTGGCGGCGGCCAGCAGGTGCTCCTTGCTGGCGACCCGACTGAGCGCGGCCGCGTCCTTGTGCACCTCGGCCGCCGCGTAGAAGGAGAGCTCGCCACCGCCGCGCGGCTGCGACGGCGAGTAGCTCGAGTAGTTGGAGTCGGTCATGGAGCGACCGTCACCGTCGTCGCGGCGCGAGAGCTCGCTGCTGCCCGACGGGGACGACTTGCAGCTGCCGCCAGCCAGCTGCTCGAGCAGCGTCGGCTGGTGCGGGTGCGGTCCCGACCACGGCTTCGGGCCGACGCGCTTGGGCGGCACCGGCGGCGCCTTCGGCTTGAAGTCGGGCTTGGTCGGCATGGCCACCATGCTGTCGCCCGATACGGACAGCTTGTCGAAGTTGCCGAGCTGCTCGGCGACGGCGGTGGCAGTCCACGTCGACGCCGCGCTCGTGCGCCGACATCAGCAGCTTGGCGAGCGGCGGCGCCAGGCCGAGCCCGATGCTGCGCTCGTGGTACACGTCCGTGATGGGCAGCTCGCGCAGCCGGCTCATCTGCGTGGCGATGATGTGGTCCTGAATGCTCTTGTGGCCGAGACTCTTGGCGCCGAGCTCGTCGGTGCCGCGCATCAGCTCGTCGCCGGGCGCGGCGGCGGGACGCGGCCGACCGCCGGCGCCCGCCGCCAGCTGACGCTCGTTCGAGCGGTCGCGGCGCGCGCGCTGGGCGGCGGCGGCGGCGTCGGTAGGCCGGCGCAGCTCCGTGCGCACACTCAGTTTGTCCAGCTGGCCGCCGACGGTAGCGTGGCTCAGCTTGAGCGTGGTCGAAGCCCCGGCCGTTTTGTAGACGCTGCGCACCGGGCGCACAGCGCCGGGCAGGCGCCGCGGCCCGAGATCCGAGTCGGAACTTTGCGACTCGAAGCCCGAGCTGGCGTGCGAGCTGGCCTTCTGCAGGAGGCGCGCGCTGCGGTTTAGGCCGGCGCTCACGTCCGCCACCACACGATTTAGCATCGGAGGCTGCTGCTGCTGTTGCTGCTGATTCTGCTGCTCCTGCTGCTGCTGCTGCTGCTGTTGGCCCTGCTGCTGCTGCTGCTGCTGTTGTTGTTGCTGTTCCTGTTGCTGCTGCTGCTCCTGGGGTGGCGGCGGCGGCGGAGGAGGAGGAGGCAGCGCAGGCGCGGCCGCCTGCCGGCGCACGGTCGCCTGGCCGTTCTCCCAGTCGGCCAGGCTGCTGGCGCTGCTCGAGCTGTCGGGCCGCTTGTCGCCGCTGTACAGCGACCGGATCTTGCTCTGGTGACTGAGCGTGAGGCTGAGCCGTGGGCTCGGCTGCGGCGAGCCAGTCTCGGCCGGGCTCGGGTGCTGGCCGCGCACTCCGCGCAGCCCCTTCTGCACCACGTCCACCGGGCTGGGTGTGAAGGCGGCGTCACTCTCGCGGCCCTTAGCGCGAGATGGCGGGTCGAGCGTGCTGCTGCGCGCGCCGTCCGGCTCGCCCCGGCCGCGCACGTAGCTGCTGAAGGCGCCAGAGCCGAGCAGCAGCGGCGCGCGCGACGGTGCGGCGCCGAACACGGCCGGCTCGGCGGTCGGCGCCGGCCCCTCCTCGCCGCCGCTCTCGTCGCTGGTGTCCGCCGAGGAGGAGAACTCGATCTCCAGACTTTTGGGCGCCTCTTGCGTGTCTGCCGGACAGCGGGCATGTTGGATACGGGCCGATTTTTATCGGGAGCTTCACCGGCCATGGCGAGCAAGGCATCCATAAAAATGCTAATGGAATGGATGGTGACAACGTTTTGCACTATGCGCTACCCATTCTGGGCTATCGATGAAATCTACTGATGTGAGTAGCATGTATTTGCATCCAGCATTTTTGATTCCAATATGGGGCACTTACCAAATAAAGCTAGCAGGGCCTGCAGCGCGAACTGGATGTGTCGTCGGTTGGCGTTCTTCCCTGTTTTCAGGTGTACCTCATCCCTGCCGACCTCCATCAGATCGAAGCCTGGGGAAGAAGGGCAATCATTGTTTTGCGCAGCGAAATAAGCTAGAGCACTGGTGTAGCGCATATCACTACAGCAGACAAACTACATCGGCGAGTGCACCTAGTTTGGCTTCAATGATAAGAAAACATGAGACACAACAATGCCTTAAAAAGACCCGATTTCAATTCGAGCACACATGAATGAGCAGTCGAGCACATCAGTAATGTCCGCCCTGTCGGAGGTCCGTATGGGCCGACGCCCCGCAGCGAGGCGTGCTCTCTGCCGTACCTAGCGAGGCGAGCAGCTCGTGACATCCGCTGACTCGCCACAGACGCACGCCGACCGATGTCTCGATGCTCTCCGTGTCGAGGTCGGCGGCGGCCGGCTGCGCCAGCACACCGCGAATGACGCCGATCACGTCCTCGGCCTGGTCGCGGTGCGCCAGCAGCTTGCAGAGCGCGGCGAGCGAGGCCGGCGCCAGGCCGAGCAGCGCCTGCAGGCTGGCCGAGCACTGCGTCAGCCGCTGGCCCGGGTCCGACTGCGGGAAGAACACCGAGCTCGGGATGCCGTTGGCGGCCGGCTCGAAGCGGAAGCCGACCGAGATGAGCAGCTCCTTCCAGCCGCTGAGCCCGTTCACTTTGCTTTCAATAGACTGCTGCGTGGTGTACATGGCGTTCTTGTGGCCGCGCTGGATGCGCTGCAGCGACTTCTCCATCAGGTGCAGGGTGACGCGCAGCGCGTCCCGGCAGCGGTCCGGCTGCTGCAGCAGCTCGCACAGCGCCTGGCCCATCAGCGCCACCTTGTTGGTCAGCTTGACGTCGGTGCCGACCAGCAGGTAGCCTGCCCAGTTGGCCGGGTGCGCGAAGTGCTTGGTGTTCTGCACCGTCTGCATGGCGTCGTTGAGCGCGCGGCTGACGCGGGCGCCCTGCGCAGAGCCAGCGGTCAGGCCGGAGCGACACGGATATCACAGGCGCCGCGCTGCTGCCACCGTCAGACGACATGGGGCTGAACATGGGCTGCTGATGTCAGAGGATGTGTGATAGGGAAGGCATGCTTTACTTCCGTCTCCTACCATTTCCTCAAAGCAGAACAAAGAGTTGACGTAGCGTGAAATTCGCTTCTTTCGTGGTTTTCAAACATGCAGGTCAAATAATCGACAGCGGGTTGGAGGATATCAAACGGATTTAAATCGCGACGACATAACATCGATCATCTTGTAAACATGCCCCAAACACAACCAAAACTGGAACACACGCGATCCCTTTTTAACGATCCCCTTCTGGAACAAAGGCGATCCCCTTATCTCCATGCCCTATTCCACTTCACGCGAACTTACCACCGGCCAACGACCACACCACCACCACTGACCTGCAGCAGCGACGAGTAGAAGGTGCGGTACAGGATCTTGACGGCCGTGTCGGTGACGGGCCACAGCGAGACGAGCACGCACTGGGCGCCGGCGGCCAGCAGCGCGCGCGTCAGCCCGACCACGCCGTCCGAGCTGGCGCGGCCGTGGTGGTCGCGCGTGTGGCACGAGCTCACCACCACCAGCTTGGCGGTCAGCTTGAGGCCGAGGATGTCGGCGGCCGTCAGCAGGAACTCGGAGAGCGGCGGCAAGTCGCTGGTTGAGGCCGCTTCTGACCGGTCGTCCTCGTGCTGCGACTCGCACTGCGAGCCGTGCGACGAGGCGCGCTTCGACGGGCGCGAGTCGACGAACTCGCCCGGCGACAGCACCACGGCCGACAGCTTCCAGGAGACGTGCGTCGCGAAGTGGACGCACTCGGCCTGCGCCAGCTGCTGCAGCAGCACCTCCTTGGCGGCGGCCGCGCCCGTCAGCGGCTCCGTCTGCAGCATCTCGGCCACGATGTTGGCCTCCTGTTCGGCGTACGGAATGTCCGTCCAGCCCCACTGCTCGCTGAGCGCGCTTGGCAGCTTGGGGTTGCCCACCACCAGCGCCGACGTCTGCTCGCCGCCGGCCCGAGCACCGCGCGGCCGCGCGCCGGAGCGCAGCGTGCTGATGGACGGCGTCAGGATCAGGTTGTAACGCTCGCAGAGGAATTCGCTGCTGTCGGGGCCCTTCAGCACAGGGAACGGCACCAGGTAGAGGTCGCCCTCAAGCACGAGCATCAGGTCGCGCGGGTAGGCGTTACAGGGTAGGTGCTCCTCCATGGGCGCGATCAGCAGCTCGTACAGCGAGCGCAGGCACTGTGGCCCCTGCCAGGCCGCGCGCCGCGAGCGCACCGAGCCGGCTCGACTCTGCGAGCCGCTGGCCAGAGAACCGGTCACGCTGCCCAGGCTGCAGGAGAAGGCGCTGAACATGCTGGACAGGCTGTAGTTGGACGAGTTGCACACGTGGTTGCGGTTGACCATGCGCAGGAAGCCGGTCTTGTCGTTCTCCTGGTTGAGCCGGTCGCCGAGCTGCTCTAGGTGCTGCTGCCACATGTCGCCGGCGTCGGCGTCGTCGCGCCGCGCCATGCCGGCCGTCTGCAGCTCGACGCCCAGCGCGTCGCGCACCGACTGGATGTACGACTCGAGCAGCGAGCCCGACGTGCTGCTGCCGTCGTCCGGCGCGTCCTCGCGCCGCGCCTCCGTCTCGCTGACGTTGATCTGGTGGAACTTGACGATGCCGCGGCCGGGCACGATAAGCCAGCTGTAGAGAAAACCAGCTGCCAGACTGTAGTAGAGCACCGTGGCCTTCTGCTTGGCCACCGCCTCCACGATCTGCTCCACCGAGGTAGGCGTGTTGTCGTCGACGCGCGTGAAGCGGCTGCTGCTGAAGCCACTGTTGGAGCGCTCCAGCAGGAGGTCGGCGAAGGCGCGCGTCCGGCTGCGCTCGGCCACCACCAGCGCCTCGTCCTCGCAGCCCAGCGACACCAGCACGCGCTGTAAACAGAACACACCCGTCGTCAGGTTAGGAGGGCTCTGGTAAACGCCAGCTCATTTGGGGCGTAAATACATGCGTGGTAAGCCAGGCGAGGTATGACTAGATCACAATTTAGAAATATTCACTTCATAATGCATGTATATATCCACCAAGATGTACGTTGATTCAATGTCACGTCTTAACTCAATGACTACTCCAGCACGCTCTAACGACCGGCTAGCGCCGTTGCCCAGCGCCGTCGCACCTGGAGCGCCTGGAAGGCGGCCGTCTGGAGGTCGTAGAGACCGAGCCGGTGCTGGCTGGTGCCGCGTGCCTCGCGTCTCACGCCCTCCAGCAGGAAGGCGGCCCGCTCCAGCTGGGTCTGCGCGCCGGCCAGGTCGCCGTGCCCCCAGAGCGCCAGGCCGAGCCGGTGGCGCAGGCGCGCCTCCTCCTCGCGCCGGCTCAGCTGCTCGGCGATCTGCAGGCCCTGGCGCAGGTAGGCGATCGCCTGCGGCGTGTTGCCCAGCGCCAGGTGGATGCGGCCCAGGCTGGCGTAGGCGGCCGTCTTGGCCGTCTTGTCGTTGATCTGCGCGGCCACACTCAGCTGCTGCTCCAGGTGGGTGACGGCCAGCTCGAAGTTGCCGAGCGACTCATGCGTGGCGCCCAGGTGGCCGTGCGCGCGCGCCTGGCCGGCGGCCAGGCCGGAGCGCGCCGAGATGGCCGCGTCCAGCTGGTGGAACTCGAGCGCCGCCTGGAAGTCGCCCATCTGCTGGTGCACGCAGCCGAGTCCGCTGGCTGCCTCAGCCTCCACCAGGGAGTGGCGCAGCTCCCTGACGGCCACACCCAGACGGCAGCTTAGTAGGGCAGCGGACGAAACGTCAGCTTAGGAATGGGGTAGGGGGGGGGGGGGAGGGTGTAGCGGACGAGATGGCAGCTCAAAGGGGAGGGGGAGTAGTGGACGAGACGACGTGCGGTCAGACTGAGGAAAGGAGCGTTTAACGCCGGCTAACGTAAACATGCTGATATCAAACATTTGAACGAAGGAGCGTGCTAATACGCTGCTGAGCTAACCTACAGCCGCAATTTATCCGGAGCCGGGTGAATGTTGCCCACACGGTATGTACGTTTCAAAACTGACCTACATTTATCTCAACCTTAGCGCTTTCCATTAAAAAATATAAAAAACTAGACAGTGCAACCGCTATAGCACCAGACGACAGGGCTCACCTGGCGATATTGAGCTGATGGTCCAAACACGAGATGGCCTGCTCAAAGTTGCCCAGCTTGCCGTGAATATCACCCAGCTCCCCGTAGGCGGACGCCTTGGCCTGCGGGCTGTGCACCTCGTGCGAGACCACGAGCCGCTTCTCGTAGCAGACCAGCGCCTGCTGCAGGTGACCCAGGCTCTTGTGGCTGCCGCCCAAGCCACGGTACGCCCGCTCCTGGTCCTTGGTCGACTTCAGCTTCAGCGAGATGCTCAGGAACTGCTCGTGACATTTGATGGCCTCCTCGTAGTCGCCGATGGCGTCGTAACAGTCGCCGAGGTTGCCGAAGGACCTGGCCTTGTCCATCATGGCCGTGCCGGTGGGGATCTGCTCCAGCGTCGCCAGCTGCTGCTCGAAATAGCCGATGGCATCCTCAAAGTGCGACATGTTCAGGCGCGCGATGCCGAGGTTTCCGAAGGCTTGGGCCTCCATAATAGCATCTCGAAGGTCTTTTGCCCTGTGAAATCGAAACACGTCATTAAAATTTGTTTTGAAAACAAAACGCAATTACTATGTGAGAACCACCACAGGTGTTGAAACGAGACTCGTTGAGCGTCCATGCACGACAGTATCGTAAAACATCCGACGCCTACATTTCTGAGCATCTCAATGCTCCATCAATCGCGCCTAGCAACGGCCAGACAGCGCTGGACGAGCTCTCTCAGCCGACTGCCCTCCAGCCATCCCACTCCCTATCGTCTGACGGCATGACGAGCAGGACACGCGCGCGAACCCACCTGTCCAGCTGCTCCTCGTAACACTTGATGGCGTTGGTGTAGTTGGCGAGCGACATGTGGACGGCACCCAGGTGGCCGTGCGCCTTGCACTCGCCGCGGAGGTCAGCCAGCTCCTGCCGGATGGTCAGCTCCTGCCGGCGACACGGGCCGGGTCAGGTCACCGACCGCAGGGCAGACCGGGGCGCGGCGCCGGACCAGGTGCGTTCCGGGAGGCGGCGAAGCTGGCTCTGATCGAATGTTGGTGAGGTGGGGATCGTACCCAGATCGCTCATCGTAAGCCATTTTTCATAACGATTAGAACACTCGCGAGTGGCCATGGTGTGACTGCTGGCCTAGGGATGAGTTTATAGAGCGCGACTCACAGGCTCGCGGCTGAACTCTTCCACTCAGGTCTCCCGCCAGTAGTCTGGTCTAGTGACTCATTAGTGCGCCAGTATTAGACAGCACAATTTGTTCCTCAACTTCAGAACGAATTACTGACTCTAGCCGAGAGCCATTAATACACCTGTAACCTCCTTGACCCCACTTTCTCAGACGTTTATTTTAGCCCATTACTTCTGCTAGTCATTTCGTACTGTCAACTCTCTTCCCAGATGTTGTACTTTCAGCCCTGCGCGCTTATGGTGTAATCCTACATCACGCTGGTTCCAGCAGCCGACTGGACGCGGTCGACTGCTGTCGATCACGTCGACTGGATGCAGCCGGCATCTCCTGCATATACAACCGATTAACGGAAACAGCTGCGGTCACTGCAAATTGCTTTAAAGTTAGAAACAAAAATGGAGCGTTACCAGTCACCAGCACTGAAGACATCTAAGCACGTTCATCATTGGCATGTCGCACACCAAGTCACATGTGCAACTTGAGGAAATATTTGAAGTTGCTTGGGTAATTCCAACTGTTTAATCAGAACCAAAACTCAATTGTGACACGTAAGTCACTGATGGTCACAGATAAAAACGCATCGCGTAAGACGCGGCGAATTAATGTACGCGTTATGTACGCAAAAGCCTTCAGCATTCCACGTGCATGCACGATTCGAATAGCGCCCGCGGATAGCCGGACTAAGAGCTGAAACCCGGCGCCGGCGCCTCAAACGCTAGAGCGCCGTCACCTTGCCCTTAACAGCATGTAAATCTACGCAGCGGCCTGAGCTTCAGCGTTTTTATCGGAGCACCAGTTCGCGAGGTCGGCGTCATCCAGCCGTATTTTTCACGGCACATTTTCCCGGAAAGCCAAATGGGAGCCGAAAGGATGAAGCATAGATATGCTCCTTCCAACGCGTCCCCGGACAAAAGGCGGGAATGGCCATGAGATATAGCCCTTTTACAACCCCGGTTTTTCCTTCTACCCACCTTTGTGTGTGCTCCTTTCAAGCTGCAGTAAAAAGGCGCACCCGAGGGCTGGCCGGCCCGGTGCACGGCGCTGGACCCGGTCGTTTATCGCGGCACTGGCGGCTGAGCCGCCGGCCGGCCCGGCGGGGGCGCCGGCCCGAACACCGACCGGCCTCGCCAGCGGTGCAGGGCGGCACCGCGCCGGCAGCCCCGCCACCGGTCACGGAAGCGCCGCAGCGCCGAGCATGGCCAACAGCGCGGCGGCTCGCCATCGCCCTCCAAAACTGACCGCGGCTGTCCCCTCCAATATGCAGCGTGCATCGGGTCGCCGGATGAACAGGGGTAATGTCGGGCTGCGGGCCTGTGCGCCTCCGTCTGCTACAAGTCACGGTCGCGTCCCGATGCATCGACTGTTTGGCCCACGGCTGTAGCGTACGGTGCCAACGCCAAGATATCTCCGCCGGCGTGAGGTGACTTATGCCGGTGGTGCATTGCAAGACTATGCCCCATTACGGCGCCGGTATGACAATGATGCGAACTTACGAGGGACTTACGTCCGGCGCAAGATACCACGAACTTAAGCTGCAGTCACTTTCACCACATTCAACCCTCGCATCGCTACCATGAGCACCAATGGAATGTGGATAATAACCAGTCGTGGAGCCGTGCGAACCCGCAAAACAAACATGTGTCACATCCAAAGTTGCATCGCTCTGAGAACAGACTCAACCGACGAAGGCAAATAACAAATGGACTAGTCACCTCAGCGGACGCTTGTCGGGGCCAGGCAATGGCACGCGGTGTTAAAAATGTGACCGGTGGACTTTTTCGGCGCGGCTTCCAGCCTGTAGCCCCAGCGCGGTATCACACATGTCATCGCTGTTCGTCTTTGCCTGACACGAATGCATAATGCAGTGTTTCGTCCAAGCGGACACGCAAGCAGCCGCAGTCAGTCACCGGCGGGGCCGTACTTTCCATTCCAGGCCAGGCTTCGCTCACAAGCGGACATGCACGCCTGTCATTGAGCACAAGGAAGTGTACGCAATATCCCGACGTCGTTGCCTTCGCTACCGTGTGTTTAAATAATCGGCTTGGAACTGGCCATGCGCTGGAGCACGACATGCCGTAAGCCAACTCATTAAACAGTACGCGTGCAGCTGAGGGAGCTTTCCGTGTAGACAAACATCACTAGTTATCTGCCCACTTCGTGTACAAGGCGAGCCTACCTTGAATTTACCACAAAATGACAGAATGCTGTGTAGTGCAGTCACGCTGTCACCCGCATGTCCGTTTTTGTGGGTGTTTTTCGACAAGCCAGGAAGGCTGTAGGCAAGCCAATGTCCATTGTCCACAGTGAGGATCCACTTTTAAGACTGACACAACCGCATTTCCAGCGACACCTGCCTAGATCTTTCCCTCAGCAAACGGAGGCCAGAGCTCCAACCGCCGGTAAGTGTGCACATCCCTTCCGACCAAGGTCGTTCCTCCGAATCCCCCCCGCCGCCGCCCCTTCCTCAGGCCAGCCCAGCCCGCTGTCCCGTCCAGCCCGTCCGATCGCCTCTCTGCCTGAGCCCCGGCCGGTCTGTTGGGCCGATCGGACGGTCCGTGACGTCACGCCGCCGCCATGGCCGCCGCCGCCGCCGGCTGGCGTGACCGACGGCAGTCTGTCAGCGGCTCTCAGCCTGTGCCCGTCCGCTGACGACAGCTCCGGACCGGCGGCGTCACCTCCGCCGGCCTCCGCCCGGCGGCGGCGGAGGCGGCGCGCACGTGCAACGCTCGCGCCTTAGCACGCTCAGCGCGCACTTGCCGGAGAACTGCTGGTGGCACTGACAGAGCGTGGCAGCCAACGGCCAGCATAACTCGCGTCAATCACCCTCCTAGCACTTTGCAGTCGAAGCAGCTATTATGCGGGGGATTTCCTGGTTCTTTTCAAGAGCTGGACAGGGTTCACAGCGGATCCCAATAAAGACCGAAAGAAATCATGGCCGGAACTAAGGACTGGGACTCAGAGCCGGAAATTAGAACCGGAACTAAAGACCGGAACTCAGGACCTGAACTATGGACCGGAACTAAGGACCGGAACTCAGGATCAGAACTAAGGACCAGACTAAGGAACGGAACTAAGGACTAACGATCAATATGACCTTTTAGGGCTCAGTGCACAAAACATGCTAAGTGCCCAAGACTGCTAGTCCGACTGTCTCCACTTCGTGACTCATATCTTATACACCCCCACAGAAGACCAACTTCCTCACCATTCCCGCTAGGCTGGCACCAGCGTCCAGCTCTCGACTTCTTAAAGAATGCGCTGAGCCAAATGAGCTAATGAAGACTCTTCCACCACCACCGGCCACGACTTCTCCACCAACGGCCGTGACTCCTCCACCACCACCGGCCGGGACTCCTGCACCACCACCAGCCGGGACTTCTGCACCGCCACCGGCAGGAGCTCCTGCGCCGCCTCTGGACGATGGAAGAGCCGGCACCGAGCCGAACCTGGGCCCACGGCGTGCTCTGGGACTCCCGGACACAGGGCGTTGCCCAGCGTTGGGCTCGATGGCCCCGTTTGGTCCCTTCAGTGTCACTTCAGAATAGCTTCAGGCAGCGGTTCCGAGCTCACCAGCTGGTAAATGGCCTGCCTGTGATTTTATTGCCTCGATACTAGGTGATGGGTAGCTTTAAGACGACTCATGATCTCAGTGCTTTATCCTGAGTTCACTGGGGTGGAAAGATGTGCCGACAACACAGGAACGCTCCTGAGGCTTGGAAACCCACAGGTATTGACGTCAAGTTCTCCTCATCTATGAAGCAGCTTGCAAATTATGCCATTTTAGTGCTTTCGTTGCACGAGAAGACCCCGATAATCCTGAAATCAGGGTCGTGTCGGACGGCAAACGGGCTACGAAACGGCCTGACGAGAAACGATAAAGATTGAGAAAAACGCTTTATATCGTTTCGTCCATAGGAAGCGGCCCAGCAAAGTATCATTACTTGTCAAAGTGTGCTGACATCAGGTATGAAATATGAAGGCAATTTGGGAGAAGTCTCAAAGACGTCAACCATCACAGAGACCAGTGAGGAGAGCCTCAGAGACCGGTGCGATAAGCTCCAGCTGCTTAAATATTTATAATGGTTCATGCAATAGCTGCCAGGGCCTCTGCCATCCGTGGAGTTATGAGAATTATGATAGAACATCATCCTCACATTACAGACGGGGCAGCCATGCTCGAAAGTGGAAATGCCCGACAGCAGGAACTCTGCCAACAATGCCTCCCCACCGCTTGCATTCTAAGCCCGTCATACGCTTTATAGGCGCCGGATGGACGTTCGGCCATCATTTTCGGCCAGTCCATTCCGTCGCCAGGAACAAAGCAGCAGCCATTTTCGCCCGATGCCTGTCATTGCGTAAAAGCGCGCTGTCGAAGGGCGGACGCATCAAGCCTCTGCCAACCACGCTACGGTGATTGCAGAACTAATGCTGTTTAATGGAATGGCCGTGTAATGCAGCAGCCCGTCAGCCTAGCCAAGGTGATATGCTCCATTATCCGAGATAACGACTGGGCAAACGGCAGCGTCGCTGCTATTAGTCGGACGTAGTTGCCGTTCGCGCAGCGCCGGCGCAGCCCTGGCGTCGGCCGGCCCGGAGTCGTACGCGTCCATTCAGGCGGGCCGGCCATTCATTAGCGTGCGTCTGCAGGACGCCACGGGCAGCGGCGGCGGCGGCGGCGCGGCCCGAAGCAAGGTCAGGCGCAGGAGACAGGTCGGCGACGCGACCGAGCGCAGGCTGACCGCGCACCCGCGCTGCGCGAATACCAATTAGAGAGGCGTCCACAGCTCGTAAGCGCCGACAAACACGGCCGGAAAACACGCGCGCAGCCAAGATCAACATGGCGATTAGGCACGCTCAAATACGGCTCAGGTTCAAGCGGCGTTTTATGGAGCTGAAAAAGGCCGGCGCGGGCCGGCAGCAGAGGTGGCGCGGGCGCTCCCGGCTCCAACTGGCGGGTTCGTTAGAGCCACGCACTTCACAGATGCCGTAAAGAAGCTCTTAAAAACGGGTGTGATGAGATGATGCATACACGGGTGGTAAATAGCCGCTCAAGGTTAGGCTCTGATCTTGCCTCTGATGAGATTCATTGCGAATGTGAACCAGGACGGACCCATCAGCAGGGCTGTTTTCAAGTAGCAGGTTATCGAGAGGCAGGTTATCAAGTTGCAGGTTATCATGTAGCAGGCTATCAAGTAGCACGTTATCCAGTAGCAAGTTATCAAGTCTCAACTTATCAAGTAGCAGGTTATCAGGTAGCAGGTTACCCAGGCGGGGAGCCGCCGAGTGCTGTTTGTTGCGTGCAGAGAAAAGCCGCACGGGAAAGATTGGTATGCAGCGCGTGCAGACAAAAATAGCCAGAGAGAGAGAGCTAACTGGAAGGTTTTCTGGTCATTGCATCATCCCAAGGATTCCTGCAGAACAAAGTAGCCATCCGCCGTTGCGTGTTGATCTTATCGAAGTACCAGGAAATACATACGGTGTTTCCAGAACCGTACTGCGTCTTTGCTGTTGCCTTTAAGTGAGCTGCACTGATGCACGACGACGGCGTCGGTACAATCGCTTTCAAGAGCCGCTCTGGTCAGTGGCAGTAAACAACATACGCCTGCCTAGGAAACAGCTGCAGGCTGCTATTTCAGGTGGATACGTCCCTAACTGGATAAGGCACGAGGTGGCCCTGGATAAAGCCTGAGCCTGAGAAATCTAGGTAAGCTTGTCGCTGTGCTCAACCATGCCTCAAAACATAGAAAATCTTGGGCACTGACGCTGGCTATAATGTTCACACCCACAGCACAACGCCATTCGTTGCCCGTGCCTACACCGCGTGAAGCAGGCCGCGTGGCGCGTGGCCCGGCCGCAGCAGTGGCTTACCTGCGTGTGGAAGCCTAGCGCCTTGTCGAACTGGCGCAGCACGCGGTGCGCCATGCCAAGCGCCCCGTATGCGCACGCCTCGAGCGGCCGGTCGCGACTCTGCTTGGCCGCCGACAGCTGCTTGTGGTAGTAGGGTACCGCCTCGTCGTGCTGCTTCATCTTCATCAGCGCGTCGCCCATGTTGCCCAGCGCGCGGAACGTGCCCTGGGTGTGCTTCAGCATGTGCGCGATGGCTGCGGAGGAAGAAGAGCGAGGGAGTCAGAAAAGGCAGAGCAGAGCGACGTGTCCGCCTGGATGCTGCCGCGTTCTTGCGTTTTCGGAGAAGGCGCAGCGATTAACCAAACGGCCATGAAGGCCTATAATCTCACTAATAAAGTGCATTGACCTCGGAGACCTCGCGATAGCTATGTAAATGCGGGGCCACCGATATCCGAATAGCTCAACCGGCACTGCCACACCTTCAAAGGGTCATTACTATCGGCCAGAACCGCCAGCTTGGCCTCAGTATGGGACCCTAAACATCAACACGTACAAGAACACTCAAACCTCCAAAAAACACCGGGCCAAGCGCGACCCGCCCAGGACCGCACTTACCGTGGAAGAACTTCTGGCACTCGAGCGCTTTCTCGAAGTTTCCGAGCGCCACATGCGCCAGGCCCAGGTTGCAGTAGGCCCGTCCCATGCTCATCTTGTCCTGCAGGTCCTTGGCCAGCGCCAGGTCCTGGTCGTAGTAGCGCACCGCCTCGCTGTAGTTGGCCAGGCAGTAGTGCGCGTAGCCGAGGAAGTGGCACGCCTTGGCCTCGCCCTCCACGTCCTGCAGCTCCTGCGACAGCATCAGGTACTGCTCGTAGTAGGGCACGGCCAGCGCGAACTCCCCGCGCGAGCTGTGGCAATTGCCCAGGTTGCAGAGCGCGCACGCCTCCCCGGCCGTGTCCTTGAGCTCGCGCGCGATGTTGAGGTGGCCCAGGTAGTGCAGCAGCGCCATCTCGTGCATGCCGAGCGCCTGGTACGCCACGGCCAGGTTGCCATGCGTCGACGCCTCGCTGCTGCGGTCGTTCACCTCCTTGCTGATGGTCAACTCCTGCTTGTGGTACTTGATGGCCTGCTCGTAGTAGCCCATGGAGCTGTAGGCGTTGCCGATGTTGCCGTAAGCGCGGCCCATGCCGGCACGATCCTGCAGCAGGCGCGCGATGTTGAGGTGCGCCTGGTGCAGCTTCAGCGCCGCGTCGTGGTCGCCCAACAGCTGGTACACGATGCCCAGGTTGGAGCAGGCGCGCCCCTCGGCCGTGCGGTCCTTGGTGCTCAGGGCCATGTCCAGCTGCTTCTCATGCCACTTCTTGGCCTGCGCGTAGTCGCCGAGGCAGCGCGCCGCGTGCCCGAGGCCGGCATAGGCGCGCGCCTCGATGGTGCGGTCCCCCAGCTGCTGGGCGATGCGCAGCACCTGCTGGTGGAACGTGATGGCGCGCTCGAAGCTGCGCCGGTAGTGGTGCGAGCTTCCCAGGTTGCTGAAGGCGCGCGCCTCCTCCACCCGGTTGCCGAGCTGCTTGGAGATGCGTAGGTGCTCCATGTGGCAGTCGACGGCGTTGTCGAAGTCGCCCATGGCCAGGTAGACGGCGCCCACGTTGCCGATCTCGCGTGCCTCCTGCAGCTGGTCGGCCAGCTGACGCACCAGCTGCACGCACTGCTTGTGCGACGCCAGCGCGTTCGGATAGTCGCTGATAGCCGTGTACACGTGACCTGAGGGCGGCGGAGAGCACTGTCAGCTGGCGCCGAGCCGCTCCCCCGCCCCGCGCGGCGCGAGGCGGCGGTAAATCAGGCGCGTTGCGTGTGTCGAGGCGCATTCCGACGACGCTGAATAAAACATGATATAAAAATAGGCATAATCGGCCAGGCCTTCATTACCATGAGCAATTACGGCATGTTCCGAGTCCTAACGCCGTTGTGATTATGATAAGTGGAGCTTGCGGAACCGGACGGCTGGAAGAATCGCTCGTCTTCCGAAACATCACTCCGGAGCATTTTATCAGGCGTCATACACTCTCTCGTTTATCGCAATCCTTTATGGACATCGACATCCTCGTTCAAATGTGTCAATGATCTACGGGAGTGGTTTCACGGAGCATTATTCCACTCCGCTATCATTCATCGCAGTGAGGCAAAGCATTTGTGCTGCATTTCGATGGGTTCGCTACCCTCCCAGAACCTGATCGGAGAGCCCATTGAAATGTCAGCGGAGGCAGCCGCATTAAAACGGCTGCCGGAACTGAACCGGACCGTCAGCCGCCGTCTGCAAAAATACCGGACCAATGGCCGATCCTTGCCACCGTGGTTTGAGTGTTATGACAAATTGATTGCGCTTAAATTGAAAAGAGCGCCGGCCGCGATTTCGATGATGTTAAGCGGGGCCCGTTTTGTTCCCGCCGTGAGTCGAGTCCGAGGTTTCGTGCCGACATACAGCGATTTCGATGATGTTGGCGGTGCCCATTTGGTTCCGGCCATGAGTCGAGTCCGAGGTTTCGTGCCGACACTCTGCGTCACACCGGGAGCAGCAACAATTAATCCGGCTAACGGTCGTACGGGAAAATCTAGCATCCACGCCGAGCCCGAAAAACTCGCACAAAAACAAGGGCGAAGAATGCGCCATCTGGAGGTCGACGCGGAAACCCAGTCTTAAAAGGCCCACCTGCGAGTTCGTTAATGGACGATAGTGGAGCTTATCAGCACCAAGGGCCGACAGCTTAGCGTAAATCGGGGCGGGGGGGAGGGGGGCGTCGATCACCGTTTTGGCCGAGGCCGCCGGCTGACGTCCCCACGGACGATGCCGGAGCCGTCTCCGCACTAGCTGGACACGCGCCGCTCCGCGACGTCGTCCAAGAGCATCCGAGCGGCACCTAACGCCTCCTAGGTCACAAGCCGACCCTATCTGCTGCGCACCCCGCCGCCCTGTAGACGACTTATCTGGTGTGCGCCCCGCCACACTGAAGTTGACCCTACCTGCTGCGCGCCCCACTACCCTGAAGCAGCCACCTAATGAAACGCAACGGCGCGGCCGCATTACACCGTTTTTGTCACCGGCCACCTAATCTATGCCGACCGGGCATTACACTCAGCCTGTCAGTGCTCGAACACCGCGCTCCCCGGCGTCGCCGAAAAAGCGGCCGGTTTCCGCGTCACCGGCTCCGTTCCCGTCCCGTCTCCGCCGGGCGAGGTCAGCGGGACGGAGAAAGGCAGACCACGCGCGCGCGCGCTCGTCCCGTACGCACCGAGACTGGTGAGTGCCGCCGCCGCCGCCTGCGTGTCCTTGCACTTCATGGCCAGCACCAGCTGGTACCGGTGCGACGTGAGCGCCTCCTTGAAGTTGCCCTTGCTGAAGTAGGCCGAGCCGAGGTTGCCGTGCGCGCGGCACTCGCCAGCGATGTCGCCCAGAGACTTGGCCACGCTCAGGTCCTGCTGCATGTAGCTGATCGCCTGCCGGGAGAAGTAAGGTCAACCGATGTCGGCAAGAACTGTGGTCGCGGAGCACGGCCGACATGCGCTGGACCAGCGTCACGATCGGGGCAGTGTGATGCTGCCCAAGGAAACTTGAGATACCACGGGAGACACACACAGCGGCAAGACATGATCAACATCCGCCGACAGCCGTCCTGAAAGCAAACCGGCGACAAAATGGTGAAGGAGCAGCCCAGACGCCGCCCAGGGTGACGCAGAGCGATAATGCACGGCCGCTGCCGCTCAGCATCCGCATCTGACCCCATCCCCGGCCCGACGGGGTGCAAGGCTGGGCTCCACCCGCTGCCCTGCTCAGTGGTGCACGCGGCACCGCCAGACTCATGTGGTGCACGCGTCATCGCGCGCGCGCCGCGCCGCCGAGGCGCCGACAGCGGGGTGCGCCGACGTCGACTGAACAGACGCCGGTTGGTGCGGGGGTGGTGTTCACGCCTCGGCCGTCGCCGCCGGCACGGCAGCCGCTCAGCTGGCGGCCCGCACCAGCCCGCACGTGCCGGTGCACTGCGTAGCGCACCTCCCGATATCATCGCTGCAGTGGTATGCATTGTGATAGGGGGTGCGCCTCGCCGCCGTATGCAGCGGCGCCGGCCGGGAGCGGCGCACGTGATGTGCGTCGTGCAGAAGGCGGGGAGAAAGTCGGATTCTGCGATAACTGAGGTTGAACGAGGAATGCCGGACTATTCGTCATAATATCGGGCTGATCTCAGCAGCGTTACGCAGCGCACTTAAAATCCAAACGCATCTAACGGGAGGGAGGGCACTCTCACTGCTTGGTTGCTGGCGAAGAGCTAGGTTTAGGCAAGTAGATATTGATGATGAAATAGCCCGTGCGAGTTATTATCCCATCGTATATACAGTCCTGCAAGCTAGAGAGCAGCTCCTAACTGAAAACAACGGAGAGCAGCAGCGAAGAGGAGACGACGGAGAGCAGCGGCGGAGAGGAGACAACGGAGAGCAGCGGCCCATCTCGGCTCCCACACGCGGAGACGGTGTGGGAGCCGAGGCCCATGGTTTCGTGCTCCCTCAGCGACCGCTCGCACACGCGCTACACTGATCGGAGCCGGCGGCCGGCCCAGATGGTGGGATAGCCGCAGCGGGACGCAATAGGAGGGTCACACCTCAGCCGCGGCCGGCGCCGCCAGCGGCCGTCAACGGTCCGGTGGCCGCCGCCGGCCGGCAGGGCCGCGTGGCCGGCAGCACGGCCTGGTGGCGTCTCTCGGTGGCGAGGCGACAGCGCGCTCCTTTCTGCCACGTCAAAACAGCTCTTTGTGATTCTAGTGGCGAGGTCGTGGCCTGGAGGAGACGACAGACCGCCACTTTTGTGCTGACAAGCAACTGGCCGGACTGATAAGCTCAACTGGACAGTTCAGCTCATTTTGGATGACGTCTGCACCGTCAGTGTTTGATGCAATACACATATATTTTGAGGAAAGTTACACTCAAACATTTAACAAAGCCCTCAAGAATTGCTCAATGGTTGTATGCCTGCTCGTGCTTAGCTGAGTCAGCCATTGTTCGGTCAAGTCGCATGAAGGCTGCATGAGAAAAATGCCAAGTTAGCCCCTTTTTTGATCGCGTCTAGAGTAGAATCACGCGGCAGCTCACGAAACCCCTAAATCCCATGCATTCCGCTCTCAGGGTAGTCGTAGTGCGAGCAAATGAAATGCGTTGCCATGTTGCCTTCAGCTGACCGAAAGTCATGAGCAGTCGAAGTTGAGGAGGCGACAAAGTGAGCAAGGGGAGAGCGAGAAAGAGAAAGAGCAAGAGAGCAAGAGCGAGAGCGAGAGCGAGAGCGAGAGCGAGAGCGAGAGCGAGAGAGAGAGAGAGAGAGATGAGAGAGAGAGAGAGAGAGAGAGAGAGAGAGAGAGAGAGAGAGAGAGAGAGAGAGAGGAGAGAGAGAGAGAGAGAGAGAGAGAGAGAGAGAGAGAGAGAGAGAGAGAGAGAGAGAGAGAGAGAGAGAGAGAGAGAGAGAGAGAGAGAGAGAGAGAGAGAGAGAGAGAGAGAGAGAGAGAGAGAGAGAGAGAGAGAGAGAGAGAGAGAGAGAGAGAGAGACAGAGACAGAGACAGAGACAGAGAGGGAGAGAGAGACCCAGGGCGCGAGCACGCCCAGAGAGGACACGTGTGCGAGGAGAAAACGCATGTATCTCTGTTGATGGCATTGGCCCTCATTATCTGAGGTATGCGATGCATCACAACCTCCCATTATTTTCCGTTTAGAGACCGTGTGTCTCTGGTAGGTCAAATAGCGCCCAAGCCACCAGCGCGGCCCCGCTTTCACCGCTTGACATCACGTTTCATAATCTAATTGTTCTAAATAGCCTTCAGGGCAAGCATGTTAGACCCTAAATAACCTTAGGCACTTACGTCTTAGGCTCTAAATAATTTTTCTGCGCGAGCATTCTAGGTCCTAAATAGCTTGCGGTGCCTGCGCTTTAGCCTCTAAATAACACTCAGCCCTAGAATTTTATACTCTGAAAAGCCTCCGTCACGAGGCTTTAGGCAATAAATGCCCTCCGGCACTAGTGTGTTTGGCTCTATATAAACTTCGACGGAAGCTTTTTAGACTCTGGATAACCTAGAGCGCGGGCGTTTCATACTTCTCATAAGCTTAGGTGCAAGCGTTTTACCTTCGGAATAGTCTACGGCGCGAGCGTTTAGGCTATAAATAGCGCCCGGCACAGGCATTTTAGCTCTGGATAACGCTGGGCGCGAGCGTTTTAGGCTCTAACTAACCTCCAGCGCGGGCGTTTTAGGCTACAACGCATCGCGCACGCCGGCGTTCGCCAAAAATGTAGATTATCCAGACCAGACTTGGTTATGCCGCATAAGTTGGCATTGCTGCCGTGCGCCGGCCGATTCCAGGAACGTGCGCGCGGAATGTATGCTACGACAGGTCGTTGGCGGTGAACAGGGCGCAGTCAGACGTCAGATGCCCGAGAATGGCGGGCCGCGAGGAGTCTTCCCGCGTCGGCACAGGCAGCCACCGGTAACGTTCAAAGCACTTTCGAACGCTGAGCGCCGGACAGCTCACCGAGCGGCCGGCGTCGCTGCCACCAGATGCGCCGCACTGACCTTGTCGAGCGAGTTCATGGCCCAGTAGGCGGAGGAGAGAGCCGAGAAGACGCTGCCGCGCAGCTTCAGACTGCACGTGCCGATCTTGAGCGCCGACTCGAGCACCACCCCGGCAGCGCTGTACTTGCCGGCGGCCAGCAGCTCCTGGCCGATGACGGAGATGATGACGAACGGCGACATGTCGAGCCGCATCGCCTGCAGCTGCCGGTACGTCGGCTCCAGCGTGGCTGCCGGACGGAGCGGGTCAAGGTCAGGTCACACGAGGGGCCAGCACGGCGGCACAACTCAGCGAAAAGATTGATTCCATCGCTGGTCGCGCTGAAGGCCAGGTGATGGATTCTCGGCTTCAGAACACAAAACTTGGAGTGATATGCATTTACCAGGCTCGTTTCTCAGGGCAGCATCTATCGGCCGATAGATCTTATATGAACCATTCAGCGAAACAATCGCTAGCCACCTTTGTTCATCTAGCACAGTCCTCATTTACGGTACAAAACTAATGCGCTATCTTCAGCAGGAACACGCATTCAGTATTTCTTAGAGCGAACCTGATATAAAAATAGCATAGGCAAGCCAGCTGAAAATAGCAATCAAAGCGAGGAAAACCTGTTGTGCTGAATCAGCGATCCAATTACAGCTACATGCCGGCAGGAGGGGCTCTTTTTCCTCCTGCCACGGCCAAATTTACTGCGAATAGCCAAACGCCGGTTACATTATCATAATGTCACATAACTCAGCGTCCGGGAAGCGACGGTTAATTTGGACCCGTCCGCCCACTCCGACATCGCGGGCCGCACTTCCAATGAGTGGCCGCACACCAGTTCGCGCTCCGTCCGACAACGCGCCGACGCCGCCGCCCTCTGCCGCACCCGGCGGCAGGCGGCCGAGGGTCTTCGGAGCCCCGTCGCCGTCCTCCCCGGACGCGGCCAGGGTCCCCCCAGCCGATCTCTGCGGAGAGAGAGCACGGCACGGCAAGGGACCCCGGCGGATCCTGAGTCAGGTGGCTGGCTGAAGCGGTGCCAGACCACTAAAGGCTCGACGCACACCTCTCCAGACGGGGCGACGGGGTCCCAGAAAATCAGCGCGGTCGTGTTTTAGGGAAGACCTGGCGAGATCTGGATCACTCCGTTTTGGAGGGGGGGGGGGGGGGGGCGAAGCTAATGCTCGAAAATACCGCAGCGCAGAAGCAGGCAGGCTCCTCTCGGAAGCACAGAACTCGATTCGTGCATATCGAAGGCAATGGAACTAAGTCAGCCGCATGTCCCGCTGCATATCTGCCAGTGGGTCCGTTCACCCAGTATGTCCTGTCGGGCGGTGTCAAACGGTGAAAAGGGAGGCCTATCCGGGCCGAGACTTGTCTGGCCGCAACCCAGTCGGGCGGGACCCGTCCAAGTCTGTCCGAGCTGCAGGTGGGACCCGTTCCAACCGGCCGCGGCGCCGCCGGGTGGGACCTGTCCGAGCCCCGGGTGAGTCTCGTCCAGGTCTGTCCGAGCCCCGGCCGGGTCCGTCCAGGCTGGCCGTGGCGCCGCCGGATGAGACCTGTCCGAACCCCGGGTGAGTCTCGTCCGAGTCTGTCCGAGCCCCGGCCGGGCCCGTCCAGGCCGGCCGCCGCCCCTCGTCGCTGTCCAGCGCCGATCACGATCAATGCCATCGGGCTGGGTTTACAGCCCACATAACACATCAGTTCATTAGTGTGGCGGGTCGTCATGGCGACGCCTGTCAGCTGGTGTCAGTGACCTGGTGGCCCGGGGAGCGCCGGCCACGACTGAAGCGAGCAGACCACCGGGACTAGTGATTCACCGTCTCCTGCCCCCTCCCCCTCCACTGGCTGCCTGCTGGCTCGTAAAGCTAAACTCAGCGACGGCATAAGAGATGGACGTCCGTTATCTCAAACGATGGGCCGATCCCAGTAAATTACACGGCCGAACTCGACTTTGAAATGCTGGGCTGCTCAAAAGCTATCCCCCCCGGGCCCTGCACGTGCGTTTGAATCCTGGCTTGCTTATCATGCTGAAGCGTCCATCTCACTGAGTTCGGTTGCCAGGTAGCGCTAAAACGTTCATGACGCGTCCGTTATCCTAGCAGGCCTCACTGAACCACGGACACTCACGCATCTAGTGCGGGATTGGAGCTCTACGATTCCCTCAGCTGCGGAGATTGTGCCGTCGTCTGCCTCTTACCCTGGTAGGGAGGGCGGGTACCGCGGGAGATCGAGCTCTGTTCTTGTGGCTTCCCAAACGTGCAGTTTGACGAATGCGCGATCGGCAACTCTGCTCAATCATTCAGCCATTTTCTTGTGATGTGTATCCTCTAGCCTGAGTTCTCGTTTGAATCAAATGTTTTAATTTTAACTCACAACCACACATTCCCTCGGCGTACATCGCAGCTCAGCATTGTTTGTGTGACGGCAAGGCGCCGTCGCCTGCTCCTCCGACGTGGCAAAGTTATCGTTGCACCTTGACTGCGTACGGCTTCTCCGCCGTCAGCGCGGTGCCCTCCACCACAAATGATCGTTAACATCCGCGTCCGGCGCTGCCGCAGCCTCTGTAGCGCCATCGTTGTTATTACACGCACGTAGCTGCATCACAACATAATGGCCTACGCGCCGGGCGGCGATTAATGGCGACGGGCTGCGAGCAGGCCGGCGGAGAGCGGCCCCGCGCGCCGCCAAAACACCGCTGCGACGCCGCCCAGCCGCCGCGTGACGGCCGCGGCCAGAGGCCCACTCGTCCGTCCCGTCGGGTCGTTAGCGCCGACGGCGCATCAGTCGCCGCCGATCGGAGGCGAAAGTGGCGCAGTAATGGCCCGGCCAACTGGCAAAAACGCGTCGGTGGCGGACGGCGTCCGCTGCAGGAGCGGCGCCCCGCCCGCGCGCGTCGGGTTTCCGCAGCCGGCGTCTCCGTGGCCGCGCCGATAGTCAGGCCGCCTCATTACACGGCCCGGCCGGCTGGAGGCGTCCTAAATGCCATCAGTTAGACATTGTCATCGCGTCGAATGCAATTACTCCGCCGACAAAAACGGGTAATGCTCTTTTGATGGGTGTTGTGTCAGCGGCGAGTTAATGGCCCGTCCGAAGCCGCCGCGGCGTTCATATGCAAATGGCTCCGGTCGTCCGGGGCGCGCCGGCTCGCGCGGCATCGCCGTCCGCCCGGACCGCGGGCGCGATCTCGCCCACCCCGCGCCGCGCCACGTGACGCCACGCGACGCCGCGTGACGCCACGTGACGCCGCGTGGTGCCGACGTGGCGCTGCACGCCGCCGGCCGGCGCCAGAACAAAGCGTCGGGCGCCGTGTTTACTGCGGTGTTTACCGCCCCGCCGTTCCGATTGGACGTCCGATAGCTTTGGAGCGAGCTCAACAGTGCCATTACAATGCCGGTAGATCCGCCGGTCACGTACAAGCACACGTGCCATCAGTCTCGTCACCCGGATGGCACCCAATAGGGGGCCTTCAACGTCATGCAGAATGTACTATAGTCAACGCAAACGCTAGGAAAGCTGAAGCACTTGCCGCACATCGAGTTGATGCTGTTTGGTTCCAAATATCATGGAAACTGGCTGGATGAAACGAAAGCAATTGGCCACTCTCACTGGAAAGTTCACATTAAAGCGACACTGTGCGTGAGCGCAGGTGAGACTGCCGCTATATCTTGGGGTAATTTCTTGTAGTAAAATGTACGTTTTTAGCTCTGCTGAGTCATCCAAAAGAGATTCTAGGACAATCAAAGATTGTGTCGCACAAAGGGTTTGCAATTACATTTTCCCGCAAGGCGCAGAAAATGACAGTAGCAAAACATCTGCTTGTTATGCGACAAACCACGAATAGCTGGAAACTCATCGTTTTCGAAGCGTGCTTTGCCTGTAACGCTGCGGACTGTTGCCATAGTTACAGTATAACCACGCGGCAATCGCCTCCTATTGGGCCTGTGCAAAGCGACGACACACAGGACTACTACAGCTTAGAGACGAGACTGTGGCTTAGAGGGAGATACCATATGAATCATGAGGGCATACCACGACTTTATCCGTGCATCTCTCAAAACGAGCTTTTGGCGGCGCCATCTCTTTAAGGCGATTTGCGGTTTTCAGATCCAGCGCGCCTTCACGAATGACGTCAAGGAAGGGGCATCGATTCCGCCGCAATCCATGCCAGCCAGTCAGAATGCTCGAGTGCTCAGTTCTGTGAACGTAGTGTACACTCGACATACATAAATGTGCTGTTGGTAGAGCTCACAAATTGGGCGGCGTGTCACTGTATGAGGTTCGACATGCTTCGGTGACATCTCTGGATTCAACATGCATAACAGTCAATGCTAGCACGCACCCGAGTGGCCGGGTAAATACCCTTCGTTCGGGTGGGGGCCAATTTGACCAGGCTGAAATCTCAAACGCTAAGAGAGCTATTGACACCAAATTCACCGGGTGTGTTGGCCTTGGGGCGTATTGGGCTGTATGGAACTCACCTGTGTCAAACTTCACGGCTCCTAGGTTAAGAACTTGGTGTCAGATAAGGTGAAACAAAGTCAAACTCCGATTGGCGTCTAAAGCGCCACCAGAACCTAGGGACTTGTTCTAAGAAAACGGTCACTGGTGTTTATCGAAGGTCAATAACCTTGCTATACCTTTTGCAGGCCATGGTGACCAAAATCAAACAAGACTGCTTTGAGTTTTGCATTTGCATAAGCGCCAAAGATTACGCTAGGCAGTATGTTCCTACAAAAAATGTTAACCTAGGTCATTTTAGGTCAGTGACCTATGCTGACGTTTAATAAGTTCATGAAAGATGTATAATACGGCTCTTGTTTTCAACAAATTCCAAATGAGTATCATAATCTATCCCATACAACCAAATCCAGGATAATAAAACAGGTTGGTCTTAACCTAAGTGTGACCTTTACACCTGACCCTAGGTCAATAGAATTTGCCTATTCAACTGTCATGCTGCCTAAGAAACTATTCCAGAGATGTATGGCCTCGTCTAACTCTCTGATGCTGCATCAGATTGAGCGATTCCCTAGACGTTGTTTGCCGAATCCATAGCCAAATTTTCCCTGCCGTAGGTCAGTTTCCTTACAAACTACATCTATTTTTTGTGCTAAGCGATCTGCTATTTCACTTTCTACAGCTATGCAGAATTTGACACGGCTACGCCGCGTCGTTCGGAAACCACTCTGGAGAGACCTTCGGGGGGATGTGGGTGTCTAATTTATTCCCACCCGAGCGCTCGTAAATAACCGTTCATAACCCAATACCATGCACAAAACTAGTCACATTTTCCTTGTGCAAATGTTCTGAAAGTTCCATTAAAGTAATAACGCAACTAAAACTGTTCCAAGAAAAACAGTGGTTCCATAAACATACCAAGAAAAGCAATCCAAAAGGAATAATAGCGATTGGGGTAAGCTGGCTCCGCTGCCTGCTCAGCTGAGCACGACTGTGTAGAAGGAGAACATGGTACGATTTCTTATCACCGGCTGGGTCTCTCTGGTTCTGTTCTAGCTGACTTCCGCACACCGATCAACATAAACATCTCGACCTGTGGGGCCGCCGGCTGACACTGACGTTCCGTCTGCGGGCGCACAGCGGGCGCAGCAGCTACCTCTGCGGGCGCACAGCGGGCGCAGCACCTACTTCTGCGAGGGCACAGCGGGCACAGCAACTGCCTCTGATGGCGCACAGCGGTTGCAGCACCTGCCTCTGAGGGCGCACAGCGGGCGCAGCACCTGCCTCTGAGGGCGCACAGCGGGCGCAGCAGCTACCTCCGAGGGCGCACAGCGGGCGCAGCACCTGCCTCTGGGGGCGCAGAGCGGGCGCAGCACCTACCTCTGAGCGGTGACTTCATGGCGGCCTCCACCAGGCCGGCCAGCAGCTGCATCGACTTGGGGTCCTGGGCCAGACCCTGGCTGAAGGCGGCCAACGCTTCACCATGTCGGCTCATGCACTGCAGCGCTACGCCTTGCCGGTAGTACGCCTGGGAACGGGAGGGGCGGGTCAGGCGGATGCCAGGGCTGCTGGGGCGGCGGCAGCGGGCTCGCGCCCACTGAGCGACGGTAGTTCACTTGAGAGCTAGATCAGTCAGTTAGTCAGAGGGCGATACGGCTTGGCTGTTGCTTGGCCAAACGGTGAAACAGCGTAGTTCTTTGCGAGTTGTATTCCGATGGGTAAATCAGTTTTGCTTGTCTGCTGTCCTACTCGGATCTTGCTGGGCCCATTTCGGGTAAAGCAAATCACAGAAATGAGGACAGCAGGTGGTAGGATTATCAAAATGATATGGGCGGCATGCTAGTATTCTATAAATACACCTCAGCGTGATTAAGGGCACACCAGCTTGATTGATGACACGGTGCCATTCATACATCAACCGTCGCCTCAAGTTTTTACAAGATGTCAGGTTCTTATGCTACAGTTGTCTTTGCCGGTAGTTATTTTAGCCTTTGAAGCGTTTTCGAAGTAAGTAGCCCGTAACAAGGCATCGGTGACACACATCTGGACAACGAGCTGTTGTTTTACATTTAAGTACAACGATGGAAAAATCGATGACGAGAAAACATTTTTCATAAAAATCCCTGTTTTGTGTTCCTACGAGTGGTATCACTGGAAGTCTGGTGACACCATTAATGGAACACAGATTCTGTACGTTTTCGAAGCCCATAGATCTGTGACCCGAATGGGTAACTAGGCCTAGCTCCTCCCCTCCCCCCAAAAAACCAGCGAGGCCAGTTTTTGATCGCCTGCGCCGCACGTTACATTTATATTCAAACCATTGATTAGCCAGCAATGAGGTTACACGTACTTGAAGCTACCCACGCAGGCCGGCCAGGCAAGCCAGCTCGGCTCAGTGCGTGAGCCTCGGTCTCGTGTCGGTCCCTATCAAGTTGGTATCGAGTCCGTCCACACTGAGGGCGATTAGGGGGGATGGCTGCCGACTGTAGCTGACCGCCCCGCACAGTAGCCGGCGGTGGCCGCCGCCCTGCCGGCCGGCATGGATCAGCTGGACCGACCGGCGCGACACTGGGGCCAGGCTGGCCGCGGGACGGCGCGCCGCCCGGCCAGTGGACGCCGCAGCACGATCAAGCGGCTCTGTGGCTCAGCCTCACGGCCGCGCCGGACGTCCGACGTCGGACGCCGGACGTCCGAGTGGCACCGCGTGGCGGCCGAGTGGACGTGGGCGGGTGGCGCCGCCGTATCGCCGCCCCCATCGCCGCGCGGCACGACGGTCGGATACTGATAAGCCGGCGCTGCGGCCAGGATGGAGGGCGTCACGAACGTTAGATTAGTAAGATCATGAACGCCAACGCAGACGCCGGTCACCGCACAGGTCACCCGGTGCCTCCACCCACAACACGGGCCTCTGGCGCCCGACATACGTGACCAGCTCGCGTCAGTGAGAGCGCCTCGCCCACCAAGCTAACCCAAACCCCGGTCCCGTGCCCGCGGACCAGGCCTAAGCGTCGTGTGCTCGCTTTCCTGCACTTTCCCTTGCCATCTGGAGAAGAAGCAGGCCATTTCCGAGCCGCGCGGGGGCCGGCGCTGTCCTGGAGAGGGCGCCAGGCCTGCGGCTGCAGGCGCAGAGAGCCCACTGCAGCGTGATTGCCGCGCCAGGACCGGTGCACGCCGAACAAAGTTTAAATTGCCACCCGGCGCGCCGGGGGCCAGTAGGCCAGCCATTTGCCTGTCTGGATGTTTAATAATTTCAGGGTCGATTGCTTCTGTATGGAGAGGAGCGCTGTGGGCCAGGTATGCCATTAGCCAGGGCTGCGCTCTCTGGGTGCTGCGGCGAGATTGGAGGAGTCGGAAGGCCGGAGGCGGCGCTCGGTCGTCACCGGGAGGCATCCGCTCGCCGGCCGACGGCTGACGTCGGCGCCCAGTCATCGGTGCCGTTTCAGTGGTCGGCGGCGGGAGCGGACCGGCGGCAGGCTCGACACAGCCGGAACGGCATCGGTGTCGCAAGCTTTCTAAACGGCTCAGGTCGGGGACGCAAGGGCCGGCGGCCTCGCGCCAAGTGACAGGCATGTTTGCGTCTGGTGGCTGTGATGCCACCGTCAAAGAATTCTGGGTACGTGGCGGCAGTGCGCAGCTGGCCGGGGTGCGGTCATAAGTGGCCATGATCAGTGACGGACGATATTCTTCAAGATGAGTGGTTTGTTTGCTAACTTTCTTGATGGCGAGGCAGGGCTTTGTTGACAACGCTCCAGTGGAATGGTTCCAGTGCCAAATCCGCCAGGGGTTTGATACGTAAGCAACTAGGAAAATGCTCAAATTTATCACAGCATTTTAAGAAAAGCACGGTGTGGGGGGGGGCGGTGTGATATACTAGAATTCCCCGTTTTCCTCACAGAAAATGAATTTCGCCAAATGTTGTGCCATCTTGCGGTTATCAGCCAAAGCCAACCTATCGGAGTCCCAGGGACGCTGTAGCGCAGTTGAAAGAGCGCTCGTCTCACGACCGCCAGATGCGATATATGGACACCGTTCCTGGCCGGCAGTTCTACCGATCCCAGTAGAAATCGGAGGGCGGGATTTCGACGCCGAATCACCTGAGCTTTTGAATGTGCCTTAAGCACCAATAACAACACCGTTCAGCAGTGCAGCTCCCCTAACGTCTTGCTCTCTGAGAGCTACTTCCGCACGCCCGGTCGCCGACCGCCGGCGAAAGGACCCGGCCGCGCCGCCGAGAGAGTGACCCGAGAAAGTCCCGACCGCCTCCGTGAGAAATCACCGGCCGCACCGGGCCGGCTGGGCGTGTCGGCCCGGCTGGCACCCCAGCGAGGTCAGGCGCCGGGCAGCGGGGCCGGACGGCACCGCGCGCGGACCCGGCCCGGCCGCAGTAGCCTGTCCTCCTGCGCCGAGAACAGGCTGAGGGATAGCGCGACACGCCGACAATGGCAAGCGCAGCGGGTGACGCGGCGCCAGGCGAGGGACGCCACACCGGCGCCGGCAGCCGGGCCGGCGGGCGCGCCTCTCCAGGCCCGGGCGGCCGGATCCGGTGACGCCCCACCCCCTGCCGCGCACTCCACCTGATCCAGCTGGGCCCGGCGCCGGCGCGCTGACACATTCCTGAGATGCCGGTCACAGGCGGCCGGCCGTGCCGCAGCCTTGAGAGGCTGCGGCAGGGCCGGGGCAGCCAGGCGGCGCTCGTTTTTCAGCGGCGCGGCCCGTGGACGCCGTCGGCTGAGAGCCGACCGGCCGGGCGCCCGCCCGCCCCTCCGACAAGCCTATAATCAGCGGGCGGCGGGGTGCCAGCGGGCCCGTGCACGCGCGCGCCCCGCCGCGCCGCCCACCGCCCGCCGGCCACAACTCGGCCATCACAAAGACGCACGGCGCACCGGCCGCTCCACCGGGCGCAGGTCAGGTGCGAGTGGTCTCCGCGGTGGCAGAACGGTGGATGGCGCAGTTGTGAGGTCAGTGGACGGCGGATTGCCAGCAGTTGGCATACGCTTGTGCGGGTTAGATTGGTGGCAACCAGCAAGCGCGCTAACGAAGACAGTTGGCCGAAAAGGAAAGCGCATAGCGGGACAGGGGGATGTATAGCGACAGAAGATAATGAAATGGAGAAGGGATATACAGAAGATATGTGATCCACATTGTGGGTAAGAACATTAAGTTAAAAACCCAACCCCAAGGCGCGTTAGCTTAAGGCTGCAAGACAGGAGATGAAGTGAGAGTACAATGGAGGACAGAGGGAAGGGCGTTGGTAGAAAGGTTTTTCATAGTTCCAAAATAAAGAGGTAGTAAAAGAAAAGACCGAGACCAAAGGACCGAAAGAGGGAGAGAGAGAAAAGAGAGAGAGAGAGAGAGAGAGAGGAGAGAGAGAGAAGAGAGAGAGAGAGAGAGAGAGAGAAGAGAGAGAGAGAGAGAGAGAGAGAGAGAGGAGAGAGAGAGAGAGAGAGGAGAGAGAGAGAGAGAGAGAGAGAGAGAGAGGAGAGAGAGAGAGAGAGAGAGAGAGAGAGAGAGAGAGAGAGAGATAGAGAGAGAGAGAGAGAGAGAGAGAGAGAGAGAGAGAGAGAGAGAGAGAGAGAGAGTGAAGAAGAGATAGAGAATGAGCATTGCTGGCTTGTTATACTGTCGGACTGACCCCGGCGGCCCTAACAAGCGCACCAAATGAGGAGCGGCCGCAGGGCCCGCCAGTTAGCCGGCTTCCAGTCAGTTATTAAGCCGCCAGCTCTGCTGCGTCCGAGAAACAACACGACGCACCGCTGGCGGCGCGCTAACAGCAGCCTCACGGATCCACAAACACCTGACGTCAGCCGGGTTGCGTAAGGTCGCCAGATGGCGAACTCCCTCCACGGCCGTTGTTGTAGCTCGGCCTCGACGGCGGCTTAAGCTTGTCACATCCCAGGCAGCGTCAGCACTTGGCGCTGTTGTTCAGCGTAAGGAGCGTGATGACTGATCTGACGACTAATGACCGTCCACTGGAGTGGCATTAGCCTGAAGGAGTGGATCTGACGCCGGGGGATCATTTCAGCGGCCGATCAGCCGGGCTGAGCCGCGCCCGTCCGGATGACACTACTGGTGCCCGTCGGCCGACGTTAACAGCCCTGTGGTGCAGCGAACACGGCCCGCGGCGCATTCCGGCTGAACCAGTTTTGAAATGGCGGCCAATGAGCCTCGTCACTCGCCCCCCTCAGGGGGATGACACGTCACTCGCTGCTCCCGAGGGGGATGACACGTCGGGCCTCACTCAGAGAGTGTGGTGAGGGGGGGACTGTCGAGGTTTGTCAAAGTGTACCTGTCAAGCACCGGTATTTACTGAAACGATTAAAGGCAGACATTGTCGGTGGTATGTAGGAAGTTAGCGTAGATGGCGCAAAACAAGCGTGATTATGTGTACGAGATGTGAGGTTAAAATTTAAGTGTGCATCTCCAAACAGGAAATGTGAAATTCAAAACACAAACCGAAGCCAATTATATACCTATCGACATGGAAATTGAGCCACGGTATTTCTTGACTGGCTGTAGGCTACAGCGACT